GCTGTCCTTTTTTATTTTAATGTTTACCCCTCAGTGCATTTTTGTGCTCTTACCCACTGGAGTTAACCCTGCTGTGTAAACTGCAAAGTACACGTTTCCATATTATCTGTTACTCATCTCAAACGGGTCAAACCCCATACAGCTCTATTAAATTTGTGACTTAAACCTCAGAAAATCTTAACTGCTGAAAACAGCCTATATAAAAACCCCAGTAGCAGCAGCCTGCAGTTCAGTCTTTCTTTCTTTCTCAGGGTTGTTTTTTTTGTTTTGTTTTAAACTTAATTAGAAGTGAGTAACTATCCAGATGAGATGTTACTACACATTAGGACAGGCTAAATACGACTGACTGCTTAGAAACCAATACCATTTGGGCAAACAAGGGTAAGCAGATCAACAGTTACATAATGCACAACATCTCCCACACAATACTAATCAAAAACCAAGCAAAGTGACTTAAAATAATGAGCTATGATAGAACATTTGCATAACTGCAGCCAGCAGCATTTAATGAATCTGACCATGAACAGTCAGCAACAGATGAATACTGACTCAAGAGCTACGGTAACAAACATACAACAAAACACAACAGAACTGTTAAAACTTCATTTTTAGAAAGACATTAGCCTTGGATAAAGTACAGAAGTTGAACAAGATGTTTCTTTGTAAAAAAAAGTGAGGTCAAACACAAAAACAGTTTATCTGTGTTTAGACTGTGCCTAAAACACGAGGCCCGTTTTTGTTTAGCTCTCAGCCGTCCACACACACGAGGGGAGGAAAACCAGATGTCACGCTCTGACTGGAACCACGCTGTGGAGTCAGACATCAAAACTTTAAAACACTTCAACCTGTCCAACAACAGGAACATTACACTGAGACTTGTCCATTTTCCAGTAATTATCCCCTGGACCTCCTCGGTGCTGGCTGGCCATAAATTAGAGCACGGCTACAACACAGAGAGTCACCATTTGGTGGAGGAAAACCACCTGCCTCTAAAGGAAACACGGAAACACACACTCAGCATCCACTGCTGGGGAGTTTATTCCTAATACATGGTAAGCCATGTTCAGGTATACAGTTTTGGTACACGCATTTGGCCATACACTTAAAAGACCAATCCCAGTTCCAGCGAGCAGAACAAGCCATGCTCTTTTTATCCAGCTCTTCCTAAGATATTTGCTACTAGACAAGGTACCAAAAAGAGGGGAAAAGTTAAAAAAAGGAGCAAAAATGCCATTATTACAGCACAGAAAATCCACTACTGTGTGCATTGCTGCTTAACACAGTGCAAAGAACTCCTGTCAAATACCACACGGAAAACAAATTTAAACTCCTTTTAGAGACGGAGCGATACCAGTTCTTTTCTCATAAATCACTTTTTATTAAACCTTATGATCAGTAATTTCTATTTTGTTCATAATACATATTCAACAACCCTGAGTTAACCACTGCAAGATACTCTGCACTGCTAGAAAGTTTCAGAGTAAAACAGTAAAAATAGCTTCTGGGGGTGGGAGTAACTTTCTACTAGAGGCAACACTGAACAATCTTCTTTAAATAAACCCTTTAAAAGCCAGGAGGTGACAATTATTTTTGTCCTTGCCAAGCTAAACACTAACGCAGAGGTCAAAAATAAAAGTAAATAGTCCAGCAGACCATCCCAGCCCTTCAGCAAGATAAAAATGAGCTGCTCAACAGGCACCCAGCGAGGGGAGGCCTTTGCAGGTAAAAGCTAAACCACAGGCCCATCTGACAGAAGGTGTAAATGACAATTCAAAGTACTCCTGACTTACCAGGGCAGTTGAACTATTAAAAAACATGAGTACATACTCAACACTCCTTGAAAGTAAGACCTGCAGAGTGAAGCTGTTCCAGGGGACTATTCAGATAAAGCAAGGAATGAATATGCCAGCTGTCTCTACTCAATCCCTGCTTAGATACTGGGAAGAGGAATGGGGACACAAGGAATACTTTCAAGCCCATCAGCCTGAGAGAAGTGCAAGTCAGGGCTCACACAATGCACTCCCAGTCCTCACAGGCCACAAGAATCAGGATTCTCTCATAAACCAACAATCATCACCCCAAAGCAAATTCCCTACTTTTTTGCTGGAATTATACACGTTTGAGAGATTTATGGCAGTTGTTTCTCTTCCCAGATATCCACCTGCCTCTGCATCAAGGGCCACATGGTTTTCAAAGGAGTGGACCTATAAAAGCGGGTGCAACTTAAACCCACTAAAAGATTACTTGATCAACAGTTCCAATCCACTAAAAACAACAACAACAGCAAAAACAAAAACACACAAAAAAACCCAAACAAACAAACACACATCCCCCAACAAACAAACAAACCCAACCAACCAACCAAACAAACAAAAAAACCCACACCACCAGACCACTCAAGTTTATTTTTCTTTCCAGAGTCACATAAATCACGGTTCTGAGTTTTCTTCAGTTCAGGAACACCAACTCCTCAATATCTAGGCATTATCATAACTTAGAGAAGTTTCTTAGTGCCTGTAAACTCCTCAGTAACCCACAACTTTTTCTGTTTTACCAAAAACAGCTACTCAGAACTAGATGCTGAGTCAAATCAAACTCAAAGAATTACAGCGAGCGTTTTCAAACCTTCACGTTTGATTGCAGGAGCAAAGGCAAACGTAACCCAAATAAAACATCACTTACTAGAAATAACAACAACAAACCCCCAAACTACGCAGCAGTATCCTTGTTTTAAGAACAAGCAGAACAGATTATATCAGGACAAATTCAAATAACCAACGGGAAAAACTCCAACTTAATCTTATCTCCTGTATAGTAGAAAATGCAAAAGGGCTGCAAATTTGGCTGCTTCATAGGCAAGATGTTCTGCACACACCAGCCACTACCTCTCTTTCCAACACGTTTCCCTCCCATGTTCCTTTTAAAAAGCTACTTTTCCTCCTTTATTGAACCAAAGTCTCCGTGTCAGCCCCCTCTTAAAGACAGTTCCCTCTTCAAACATCACTTTGCTCATTCCCTGCTCCACTCCCTCTACACTTTCTCCTCTCTCTACTCTCCAGCAAAATGAGTTTCTGCATAAATAGCCCAGAGATACAGGAAAAAAGTTGTTTTTAAAAACTCCTGGTGGATACAACTCCGGTTTGACCGCAGAGCTTCTGAACACTTGCCCATGCTAGGAAAGAGGGAAATACAAAATCATCCGTATCGTTATAGATTAATGTGGTCTCAAAACTGTTACGGAAGTGCAACAGCCCTTCTTTTAAAGTAAATTAACTGGTAAACACTACAGAGATCATTATTAACTTGCACCTCAAGAAAATCCCAACAGAAAATAACTACAGAGGTGTGAGAAGCTGCCTCCCAGGCGCTGATGGTGCAAAAGTGAGCACAGTCACAACTCTGTGCAAGATCAAACAACGGCAGCTACGACAGAAATGCTATGAAAAGGTACCAGAAAAGCGTCTGAATTCTGAATGTTTGAGATCTTAATTGGAAGACAAGGTGTTTCCTTTTTAAGGTATAACTTCCATTCAATTGACATTACAAAGTTATAATTATCTCTGTTATTTCACTGATTTTGTCAAGCTCTGCCATTTGACAAGTGAAGTGGCGAACTCTTTGTCAGCTGTGTTGAAAGAAAATTCTCTTTCCAATTTTTCCCCTTCATCTGTAGTACTACTTGAAAAAAAAATAAAAAAATAAAATTAAGAACTCTGTTACAGCTAAGCCAGCCATTTTCAGCTGCCAAACTAAAGTTTAGTTCCATTTTAGTACCAGGAGACTGTGCATCATAACTCACGCAGCTAAAATGAGGATTACTTGTTGACATCAATTTTGAATAGCCCAAAATAATCCAGTCTCCAAATTTTGGTGGGGGGAGGAAGGGGAATGAGATTACGAAGAGAACTGGCAGCAGCAGTTTAAATGCTTTGCTGTGATCAGTAGGGAGCATATCATGATAAAGAATGTATTGATCTGGAGTTGTGCACAGTCTGAGTGCACAACTGATAAGGCAAAGGGAAGCTGGAAAGAGAAACGTTGACACCAAGTTAATACCACATGAAGGAGCCAGTAAATCTCACTTAAGAGTGCCTAAGAGAACATTTGATTACTTGGTTGACTGTATTAAAAATAACCAACCATTCAATCAGTAAAGTATTTCCTACTTACACCTCTGACTTATTTACAGATTCCTCTTGCAAAGGGCACCAAAGATGGGTGGGAATTCCCGTCCCTGAGGAATTCACATGTCCAACAACACGAATTAGAGGGGTCACACACAAGGCTAACTCAGACTGAAAACGTTCCCCTGACCAATTCTGCACTCTTAACTAGTCTCCAATTAAAGCCATGCTTCTGTGATGAATCCCGCTGACGCTTTTATGCCGCTCAGCATTCCAATTAAATTAATATTTGTAATTACACTTCTGAGAGCAAATGCAAATGGACACAACCCCACAAGAACAGATTATGGCCTCGCTGGTCACCCCCACCTGCCCGTCCTTGCTTAAGCAGCGTAAGGAAAAGTAAAGGCAGTCATTTCTTTTTCCTTCAAGAGAATTACACCACATAATTAAGAGTTTCACAAATCCCATGAAACACAACGCATCTAAAAAGCTCTATTCCCTTTGAATGCTGTGACAGACTCAAACCAGAGGTGATCTTTTATACGTGCCATGCCAGACTCCACATGCTGAGACACCAACTCAGCCTGGCCTTCGGAAAAAGGCCAATAAAAGAGCTCCAGAACAGCTCCTGCTGCTCTCACCTGTGTTCCCCTCTCTGAGTAACCACTGAAAAAAAAAGGAGGGTTGGGAAAGAAATGAGCTTCACAAAGTTCTTCTGCAGCCACCAAAGACCAGACAAGCAGAATTGAAAAAAAAAAAACAAAAAACTAAGTACAACAGATCTCTCCTGAACTACTGCTTGAAGGTTCTGCTCGCCCCAGAATGAGCTTTAAGAAGAGAAAGGAGGGAGCTGCCACACAGAAGACATCTCACCTTTCAATTTTCGCATCAACAAAGGTATCAATGCCCCGGACTCACATGGCAGCCCCACCACTTGTGACACAGCAGCAGCTGGTGAGCAGAGACTGTTCAGGCACAGCACAAAGCCCGGCTAAAAAACAGCGTTTGTTTACTACACCAACCCCCAAGAATTCCAGAAAAAGTTGTCATTATTGCCGTGGCTGAAAAGTCCCCGTGGCAGAGAAAGTTCTCAGCAGCCGGGCACCGGGATGGATCGCGTCCCATCCCTTCTCCCACCCGCTGCTCCCGAGGGAGCGGTGCCTGCTGTGGGGACGGGTGACCGAGGGTTGGGAGGAATGACCCCTGTCACCGCCGAGGGAGGATTCACAGGCACATCCAGAGGTCTCACAGACACTTCCCTGACCTCCGCAGACGAGTTTATCTCCTCCTGCCGGGGAGCTGCTGCAGTCCGGGGCTGGGAGGGCAGACAGAAGGGCGCTGGGGAGCGCGGATTACCGAGCTTCGCCTCGCTCCTTAATCCAACTTTTCCGATTTTTGTTTCAACTCCGGTTCACAAACACGGGCTCAATTCCGAAATACTTCCCGCACGGCTCTTCTACTCCTGACAAAGCCTCGACAATGCGCGATTACAGAACCACAACAGGATGAATCGCGGAGTGGTTTGGGTTGGACGGAACCTCAAAGCCCACCCAGTCCCACCCCCTGCCACGGGCAGCGACACCTTCCACTATCCCAGGCTGCTCCAACCCGGCCCCGGACACTTCCAGGGCGAGCGACACCGCGGAAGTTCTGCCGCCCGAAATCCACAGCCCATCGCTCCCATCACCTGCTCCCGGCCGCGGGGCGCGCACATCCATCCACACGGGCACATCCCGAAGGGAATCAAAGCCAGCCGGGAGGGGGGCGGCACGGGCGCGATCTCACCGGGCACCCCGAGGCTGCGCAGCCCGGGGTCCGGATCACCGGCCGCGGGGTGAAAACCCCGAGTTCCCCGGCTCTGCGCCGCGGCGGTGTCGGGCCGCCCTCTCTCGCCAGCCCTTCCAAGCGGGACGCGGCTCCCAGCGGGATGCTCGGCCGCCTCCCCACTGCCTCCCCCGGGGGTCCCCGCCGGGGCCGGCTCCGCTCGCCCCCATCCCCCCCCCGGCCCCGCAGCGCCGCCCGAAGAAGGTAGGGCGTGCAAAAGGGCTTTTACCTCTTCGGCTGGATCCGTCCCTCGGGAACACACTCGCAGCGCCAGGAGCCGCCTGCGCCCCGTGCCGCCCCCCCCCCCCCCCCCCCCCCCCCCCCCCCCGCTCACGACATGGTCTCTCCCGAGGCGCCGCGGCTGCCGCGGCCGCGGGCGCTCCCACTCGGTGCGGCGGGGGGGGGGGAGGGGGACGCCGTGCCCGCGCTGCTCTAATGGCGGCGGCCGGAGCGGCCCAAAGCAAAATAAACCCCCGCACGGCCGAGCCGCGCGTCAGCGCCGCCTGCCGCCCTGCGCAGCCGCCCATTGGCCGAGCCGCACCCGCCCTCCGCCAACCGGCGGGCGGCTCTTTGGGCAGAGCGGTGATGTCATCGCTGCCGCGGGGCGCCGGCCGCCAGGGGGCGCTGCCCGCGCCGGCCCCTCAGGGCGGGTCCCCCCTGGGGACCCTCAGGGGGGGGATCCTGTGCTGCCCCTTCCCCGGGCATTCGTGGGTATTCCCGATCCCTTCCCGCACATCCCGCCGCTTCCCTCGGCGCCACTCGGCCCTCCCCGAGCCAAACGTGTTCCCGGGCCACGCGCGGTGACGCGTGTTAGCAGAGGGAACGAGGGCATCCCTCCCCCCCCGCCTCGGCTCAGCGTCCATCGCAGTGGGTGGTATATTGGACGTAAACGTTTCCCGTGGGAATAATCCCTCAAAAAAAAAAAAAAAAAAAAAACACCCTTATGATGGCACGCGGCCAGGCGTGGAGAGCACTGCTTTGTGGCAGCTGGTCACAAGAACAGAATCCACTCGGTTGTAAAAGACCTTCTTGAGATCATCGAGTCCAACCCATGACCCAACACCCCCATGGCACCAAAAGCCATGTCCAGGCTTTAATCCTTCAGCACCGCCAGGGATGGGGACTCTGCCACCTCCACGGGAAACCCCTTCCACTGTCTAGTCATGCTTTCTGTCAAGAAATTCTTCCTTAATGTTCAACCTAAACCTCCCCTGGTGCAGCTTAAAACAATGTCCTCTCATCCTGAGACCCGCTGTCCTTACAGGAAACTCCTCCTGCATCCGATAAATACGGAGAATAAAGAGAAATAAAGTGAAAATCGTGACAGAAGGTCTCACAACCAGGCTGGTCTCACACCAAGACTGGACGTGGCACTCAGTGCCACAGTCTTGTCGATAAGGTGGTGTTGTATTCAATGGCCTCAGAGGTCTTTTCCAACTGAACTGATGCTGTGATTCTGTGAAATAAACTGTCAGTGTTTCCTCTACTCGGCACGTTGAGTGTGTGGGCTTTGAAATTCAGGATGTCCACCCTGACCTGGCGGACTCATCCAAGCAACAGCTGACACAGTGCAAGCCCATTCCTCTTCTGAGAGGAAAAGACTAGCAACAACTGCTCCACCAGCCCTTGGGTTCAGTCCTCGTGATGGCTATGCAATTTTTTTTTTTTTTTTTTTGCTTTCTACTCAAAAATCTGCAAGTCTGCATCTTCCTCAAGCTGCTCTTGCAGGCTCACTGACAGAAAAAGTGTATTTGCCCATCCCTTTGCTTTCCTCTCATGGGTTTTGCATCATGTGGTACCTGAATTTTTTTTCCCCACTTCTTATTTCAGGCTTTCTCAGATGTTTTAGCACTTTTTTTATTTCCATGCTTTTATTCCCCATTCCCAGACATGGTGATGGTGGGGGGGACTCTGTTAGCTAACGCCTCAAGCTTGGTGTTGCACTGGGAAACTCATCCTGGACCAGCTGGATCCATGCCTTCTTGCTCAACCAGCATAAAAGAAATGCACCTGAGATGTTCCAGAAGAGCAGTGCTAGAAAAAAAATCCCTTTGTCCAGCAGACAAACAACTAGAGCTGGAGTCAGGACAAGTAAAATGTAATTACTTATGGAGACTGAAATAGAAATTTGTCTTCATTTGCAATTAAATTAGTTCCCTATAAACATCAAGAACCATTGCATGGGGAGGGTAATGTGATTTGTCTCTCCCAGACTAGTTATTTACTAAATTCCCTTTCCAACTGCACTGAAAAAAGTTGGTGCGTTTCTCAAAATGCAGCTATGGAAATCAGGGAGACAACTTTACTTTTTTTTTCTTGGATAGACTTGGATAAATCACAAATATTATATATTCCTTATCTGAAGGAATTGTCCCATCTCAATGCTTAGAAATCATTCAGAAAATCTATCCCTTGCTCTTGGCAGCCAGGCAAGGTGATGGAAGAGCTGTTGGGATAAATCCTAAATGCTGCCACAACTATACAACAATGGGAAATTTCCAGAAATAATTGCTATAGGTTAGACTGCTTAACAAGGTCTGAAAATACAGGGAATATCACAGACTCACAGAATGGTTTGGGTTGGAAAGGACCTTAAAGATCATCAAGTTCCAACCCCCCTGCAATGGGCAGAAATATGTAATTTGAAGGAAAACATCCCTTCAAATTCTTCCAGAATATTTCCTAAAACTGCTAGAAAACCATTTGGTGATCATGGAAACATATTTTAGACAAAACACAGTGCACTGCAGCACATTAGGAGTGTGTAATGTACCTTCACAACACAGAAAAGAGCTTTAATGAAGCTTGGCTCGTATTATTTCAGAGGCTTTTGTTGCATAGGTAAGACAAAAACATCACCAACTGCAAAAATATTTTCAGAGAATTCTATGATTTCAAGTCATTTGAATTCTCTGTACTGTTGTCCTGCAGAACAGAAGCAGAGTAGTGAAACAGGTTCCTGGATGGTATTCAAAGGTGAACGTGGTAAAACTGAATCTGAAAATATTTACCACTGTCGCTTTTAAAAGCAAATCCTGGCTGCATCTCCAAATTACCAGGCCTTTTTAATGTTGGTGACTTTATTCCTCGAAGCCAAAGATTTTATGTCTGCTGCTGGCATCTCCCTCCAGGTTTTCCTTGCCGGAGTGTGCCATTTGTTCTAGACTTAAACAGTAAAATACAATGGGAATGACCTTTCAGTGGTTTAGAACATTGATATTTACACATGTGTTTTATCCAATCAGAGCTTTCAGACTTCTAATTTGGAGAGAAATCAAAATCTACATGACTTGATAACTGAGTTCTCCACAGACTAGGTGTTTGATCATCTTTTTGGTTTTTAAATGTCAGAAAGATAATTCTATTTTTGTTAGAGGTAGCAGAAGTTGTAGGCAAGTACTAATTTCCTATGTTCCACCCAAAATTTTCCTTTCATTCCACCAGTTTCAGGAGAGATTTTCACTCCCTGGTAAAGGATTTGGAACAGTCATTCTCATTTGACAGCTAAATGTGTTATTTTGGGAACTTTTCCCTTGCAGAGCTGGATTCACTCAGGCCTTGGAGATCGTGTGCCTTCACACAGAGTTGTGCAACTGTCCTGTGCACCTCAGAATAAACCCACGGCAGAACCATGAGCCTTCACTCACAGCTAAAAATATCATTTGCACATGCATGGGTTCCAGCTTTCTTTTTTCCCTGCTTCTCAAACGTCATAAATCCCCGCTCCTCTAACTTCCTCGGCCACCCTGAGTCTGATCTCCTTTCTCCTAGTTCCTCCACAACAAGAAAGAACTGACAGCAAATTTCCCTGCCAGACCTCACAGATTTGATGAAAACCAAGCAACTTTCTTGGTTTTCACGATGTGATTTTGCAGGAATATTCGTGGACCCAGCTAAGAAACCCCCCTTTTTCCCACTCCTTGTCAACCTGGAGCTGCCCCACCACTGCTGGGGCCCTTTGTGGCTCCAAGGTGTCAGCCTCTCTGGCAGATGGCTGGGAAATTCCCTTCCTTTTCTGCAAAGAATTTATAAGAAGTTTAGGATTTTTTTTTTGAATAATCCAGTGGCAAATTGCCGCCATCTCTGTTTAAACATGAGCCCTTTGTGCCGCGCTCCCTCACAGGACTCCCTGTTTTCTCCTGTCCTGCTGCTCGCTGTCAATAAAAGGCTTTTTCCCTCAACCCTCCCTGACGTTTCTGTTCTGATTCACCCTGGCTATGCCCGAGCAAATGGTACCCAAAGCTATAATTAGAAAGCAGGCGTCGAAACATTTCACAGGAGCGTTTTGTGAGCAACACCTGGGGGGTGGGGGGGAACGACTCCGTGAAACAAAAGCAAAAAGCCAGACAGTGAATTATTTTCTGCTGGCATGGAGTGAGGTGTTTTTTTTGTTGTTTGATTGTTTTTTGGGGTTTTTTTTGTGCTGCAGCAGAATTACCTCAGCCTGAGTGCAAAGATTACATCTAGTTAGCGATGTCTAAGTGCAGATCTCGCTCTTATGTAATTCTCTTTACCCTGGTAACTCCTCGCTCTCAGACAGAGCGCCGGCTCCCATTAGGAGATTCATCCTCGGCTTATCCAGGAGCAGGGATGTACGTGCTCACCAGATGGTTATTTCTCACTAGCTGAACTTTGAATATGCACAACAAGTCCTGCTTTATTCTGTGTTTTCAGGAGCAAGGAAAGTTTGCAGCTGAAGTGAGACACTTCAGTGAAGGTGAGGAACAGACATGCACAGAAATCCAAACGAGGAACATGTTTTGGAGATATTGAGAACAGGTTATTTTAAATGGCTGACTGATTTGTTACCCTTTTCCCATCCTCTCTCTGAGTCAGCCTCAGCCTTCACACCCAGTAAATCTCATACTTGTGGCTCTTTTTCCCATTTTAGTTTGAAACATAAAAAATATTCAGCTGTAGCTAGATCACTGTCCCCTCTCTCCAGGCGAGGATGAGGTCAGAGAAGCCATAATCATGGAACCACTGAAAGGTTTGGGTTGGAAAGGACCTGAAAGACCATCTGTTTCCGACCCATGCCATGGGCAGCTGTGGGGGCTCAGCCTGGAGAAAAGGAGGCTCGGGGGGAGCTTCTCGCTCTCTACAACTCCCTGAAAAGAGGTTGGAACCAGATGGGCATCAGTCTTTTTCCAAATGACAAGTGACAGGACAAGAGGAAATGGCCCCAAGTTGCTCCAGGGGAGGTTTAGGTTGGATACGAGGAAAAATTTCTACATGGAAGGGGTTGTCAAGCCCTGGCACAGCTGCCCAGGGCAGTGGTGGAGTCACATTCCTGGAGGGATTTAAAAGCCAAGTGGATGTGGCATTAGTGACATGGGTTAGTGGTGGCCTTGGCAGTGCTGGGGGAACAGTTGAACTCCAAGATTTTGGAGGGCTTTTCCAGCCTAAACAAGTCTGTTGTTCTACAGCAA